GTGCCGCGTACTCCCCCAACAAGCCGAGGATCCACACCATCAGCGCCATTCCCAATCCTCAAAAGCCGCCAAACGCGCACCTGTGCCCAGCAGCCGCGCATCTGGCATGACGCCCCGCCGCCGCCGCCGCCGCCGCTGTGGGGGCTTCTACAGCGGCGCCTGTCGCAGGCGAGCGCAGCGTGTGCCGGAGCGCGGCGTAGTCCGGGAGACGCACGCGCGCGCGTGCGAGGTCGCGCATGACCTGTGCCTTGGCGTCGGTGGGCGCGGGGGTGTGGTAGAGCGCGTGGGCCGCGGGGAGGAGGCGGCGCGCCCGGACGGTGGTCGGCGGCGGGAGCAGGAGGTGGTGGGACGCGCGGAAGGCGGCGAGGGCGTCGGGGCGGCCCGAGACGGAGACGCAGGCCTGTCGGCGGTGACTGTGGTTAGGAAGACCTGTGGGGACCCGGAGGGCTGGTGTGTTCATTGTGTGGGTATGACAGAGCGCAGAGAGGAGCCGGTTTTGGCGTGCCTGCGCTGAGTTGGAACCTTGTCGCTGCAATGAGCTCTGAGAGGACATGTGAAGCATGCGACTTGAAAGCTTCTGTGTCGATACCATGTTCGTAAATGAGATAAATGACGGCTCATGCTCCTTATTCGGGCAGCGTCCAAGCTGTACGGCTCCTCGCCGTAGGCAGCCGGGACGATGGCGAGCGACACATGGAATGAGCCGGCAAGGGATGACCGGGGTCCCCATATCAGAAGAAAGCGCTGGTACGCAGACGCCGATCCTCAACGTGAGTCTTGCAAGTCGTCCCTCACACGCAGCGCATGTAGCGGCTATGAATATATGATGTGCCCGTTTGGCGGATCTGTGATACCGACGCCAGATTCCACATTCGCCCGCGCTTGCGGCTCTACCAGTAGCGCGGCTGTCTTTCAAGCTTCTTCTTCGCTACTCAAACGAGTCCAGCCGTTTCCGCCGATGGTCTCACTAGCTTTCATACCACCATCCCATGGCTGCGTATCTTGGGGGTCTGATGTGTTGCATTAGGCACGAGTCACACGGCCCGCCGCTATAAAGCGGACGTAGAGCTCAAAGGTGAGGATTTTCCGACAACTCGTCCTCCACTGCTCCCCACACCTCTGATCCTCGCGAGGACAAGTACGAGCAAGCAGTCGTCACTCAAGATGGGAAAGGCTGTATGTTTTTCTGGCGTGACCGGCAACAGTACTTTGTGGCGCTGACACTCCTTTCCGTTTCCCGGCCGACAGTACAGTGCACGCATCGCGTCGAACCCTTACATCGTAGGCTCGTTCGCATGTATTGGCGGCGGTCTCTTCGGTCTGGACATCTCGTTCATGTCCGGAGTGCTCAGCGTGCGTTGTGTTTACATGTAGCCTCCACCTTGCCTCATCTGCATCAGGAGAACCACACCCCATGTTGGGGATGTTAGGGAATGTTAGAGATGTTAGGCAACATGTGCAACATGTGCAACAATGAGTGCAACATCCGCAACCTCTAACAACCTCCCCTAACACGGAGTGCAGTTTCCTGATGTGACGCATCACCACAGAATGATGCCTATATGGACATCTATGTTAAGGAAAGGTTGTTGCTCTAGACTACTTGGCTGATCTTGCGAGGAAACGTTGTGCAAGATGATGCCATGGATGACATTCACTGAGCTACGCCTCGATCATTGTGTCGTTCCATAGGCGTAAAGTTCGAGACAAGACTTCTTCTCACGAATTAACGCATGACCCATTGCAGCAGCTGCTAAGAACGACAATCGACAGCACTACATCTACACTACGCTACCAGCCCTAGTTCCACGCCGCCTGCGCATACAAACCAAAGACCTCGCTCGCCAGGGTGGGCGTGTACGACATCACGTCCGCGTCGGTGTAGTTCTTCTCCGTCTGGATGCTGTTGAGCACGGAGAGGAGCTGGTCCTCGATGAAGTTGATGAACACGAGATCGATTGGTGTGTCGTCGGATACGTTGGGCGCGTTCGAGGCGATAAAGTCGGGCGAGTCGAAGAACGGCAGCGGCGAGTGGAGGACGTCGTCGCCGACGCCCGGGCACGCGTCGTCCGTGACGTACCCGAGCGTCAGGTTCTGCATCGCGCGGCGCTCAGGCCCGCTGCGGCGGTCCATGTCCGCGAGCCACGCGCGGTAGACCCGTTCGACATTGCCACGGCCGTACATCTCGCCAAGCTCGTAGAGGCTCCGAAGCGCGCGCTTACGCTCGTCCACGCCTTCGCCGTTGAGTATGGGCAGCACCTGATTCGCGACGCCGGCGGTGACGTTCGGGATGAAGAGAAACGAGTCCATGAAGGGGCACGTCGTCAGCTGGTCGTTCTTGTCGAACGGCCCTGAGTAAATGTCGAAACGCAGCTCGGCTGAGTCGGTGATGATGATGTTGGGGATGTTCGCACGCGAGTTGTTGATCGCGAGCGCGACGGGCAGCGCCTCCTGTACGAACAGGCTCAGAGCTGAACCGTTGGACGGGTAGGGGTCACGGCTGAGCGTGTAGTCCCGCGGCGCAGTGCCAAAGAGGAAGCTGAGGTCAAACTGGTTGAAGAGCTGCTCGAGGCCCGCTGTGATCTCGCGGCCTTCCACCGTGTCAAACGTCTCATTCTTCTGGCTCGTGTGATATTCGTAGGCGACCCGGTTTTGGTCAAGGTAGCGGCGGGTGAACGACAGGTTCTGCTTGCTGTTCGCCTCGTCGAGGTCGACGCTCATCCAGCCTATAGTCTCCATGTAGCGGCCGCTCTCGAGGGCCATCGAACGTCCATCAAGCTGGACACAGTCACGGATGTGCGAGTGTCCACCAAGGATGAGGATGGGCGTCTCGGGGTGCACCGCACGAACGGCGTTGAACACAGTGGGCCAGTTGTCCATTCGTACCGGCATGTGTCTGTTTGTTTTATCAATGTGCCATTCTCGCAAGTATGCGCAGAAGATGTACCCCAAAGGAGGAAAAAGTCAGGCTCATCAGCAATAGCTTCACTGAACCAGCTCTCCTTGACCATGTCCTGCACC